GTCTTTTGTACATGTAAGAAAACTTGGTTAATTTAGGTTAAGATGTTGTCTTGGTGGAGTATAGAGGTTGTGTTGCCGAATATATTGGGGGGTAGCAGAATTTTTCTTGTATGGCTTGGGTAAGGTGATAGGGAAGGAGTTGAGAGCATGTATCTTTCTTGTTACATCCTGGTACATATGGTATTGGCAGAATTGTAGAGTTTTTAAGGGGAATGGGGGCTCTAGAGAGGGGTTGTTGGATAAGATACAAGTAAAAACAATTTTCTGGATTATGAATAAAGTGCAGATTAATCCGCTTGAGAGTGCTGCAGCTATAAGAAAACATAAAAGGATGCTGAAAGTGTTTAATAAGAATCGAAAGGGGCGTGTATAATGAGTTCACTGGGTGGCTGGTTGTTTTTCAAATGTTATTTGGGTTTTGGTATAAGTTGCTGGAAGAGGTGTTTATGTTACTTTTATGTTATCGTTAGTTGTATCTTAAATTTGTACATGCCTTGTAGTACTTTGTACTCCACATAATAAAATTTATTTATTTTGCTGAAAAAAAAAAGTCGATGTGAATAACAGTTTTTGTTCCATTGGCCATTGCCTCTAACCATCAGGATGTTTTTGCCTAGAAGCGTTCATCCAATGGCCAATTTTCCTCTTCCTCTGCTTATCGCCTTCTCAACAGTTTTCCTCTCTCGATAAATTGTGCCTCGCAATGGATTTGGAATGTTAATGCTTCCCCAAAAAACCAAAGTTTTATTTAGTTATTATGCCACCGTCGCGTTAGGGCTCTTTAGTATTCTCTTAAATCTTGGCATTGTTGAAGCTGCTACCTGTCCGCTGTGCGCATTGGAGGAGGAAACGTGTGATCATTTGTTTAGGAAATGCCATGTCTCCTCCTCTGTCTGAACTTTTTGTCTTTCCCTCTGGCCTAAGATTAGACGGCCATTATACTCCTCTTTTCCACTGCAACAAATAGTCCAAGCCTTGAGATCTTTCAACTTTTTCTTGTCAATTTCCGTTAACCGTGCATCATTTGCACTTGCAGCTTGTTCAAAAACGCTAGAGGTGTTTGTTTTGACCTTACAAAAACAGTTATCTGTTGTTAATTCTAATTAAATAAATTAAATATTTTGCATTATAAATAACAATAATTATTAATTGTTAAATATTTATTATCAACTATCAACTATTTAAAAAAAAAAACTAACCCAAACAGCCTATCTACTTCAACAACCATTCAATACTCTTTGGATATGAGGAAATTTTCAACCTACATACTCCAATAGTCCAATAGCCGTAGTCATGACCATAAAAAATGTGGAATGGAGGGCTAGATAAAATTTTTGGAAGCCATAGAATTTTTTGGAAAGTATGTAACTACTACCAGATGTTACAAAATTTAAGGAGTCTGAAATACTGTGGGGAATTGATCAAATTCATTAAAAGTCACTGGGGCCTTTAAATAGGCTAACATAAATAAATAGGAAAATGATTTAAGAACAATATTTTTATATTATCATTTTATACAATTTTATGTATAATTTAAATGATTTTCTCTTTTTATTCATTTAAATTTTCATAATATTAAATATATCTACTCATTTAATAATATGTGAAAGTTATTAAAAAATTGATAAAAAAAAATTGTTCTTATATTACTGCCCAAACAAATATATATAATACTAAAATATGGGAACAACTATCCTAAAATATAGGAGTAAACCTCCTCTAACCCACATAAAGGGTTACTTAATATTTGTAAGTAAATATAGGAAACCACCTAGCAACTAATCCGAAAGACTACCATAACTTGCTTTCATCCTTGTGGCTAGAGAATCATAGCTCCTATGTTTGATTTCTAACATGT